GCCGACGACCTCGAACTAGAGCGGCCTGCGGAGCAAGGCGAGGAACGAGCTTCGCCCACAGAGGAAACGGTCGCAATCTCGACTTCGGCTATGGACCCAGCTCGCACACTCCAGATCTGGTGAGTTTTTTACTTCAAAATTTAGATATTTTTGAACTTTAGATCTGGTGTCACCTAGACCTGATCTATTCCACCTACAAACAACATCTGATTTGGTGAAGTTTTCGAAGGAGTTCTGATCTTCTTCTTAGGGCGGCAGCACTTACAGTTTCCATTTTTGGACTGCAACTTTTTTGAACTTCAGGCCTTCAACATCAGCCTGCGATTTAAGTTTTTCTCTCTAGATCGAAGGGTTCTCTCAAGCTCTCCTTAACCCTATACTCAGTTTCTGGTTTGGAGTTTTTTAAGGACTGCCTCAATCAGCATAAGATACCTCCCTTCTCGTGAAGAAGAAGTCTGATGTGTTGGTAAATCACAGATTTCTCTCAATCGGCTGACTCAATCAACTTATAACCCTAGATCTGGTGTTGTCCTAGGGTTTTCTTGCCTCCCTTTTATTTGATTCAGACTTCAGATTCATATTTGAAAGGCCTTAGACTCGATGGTCTTAAAACTTGCCTTTTTTTTTGGACTGTCATCTTCTTGATTGCTGAATTTGGTTGTCTCTGATATCCTTGTGCTTGGACTAGTGATTCAAAAGGCGTGCCTGAGGCGCACATGCGAGGCACATTTTGGGGTATGCGCCTCGCCCAGGTCTTAGGTGCACCTCTTTCAAAAGGCGCGCTTGATGCGCCTTGCACCTCAGCCCAGGCGTGCGCCTTTATAAAAATTTGCGCTTTTTGCTGCTTTTTGAGTCTAACGGCTGTGTTGTTCATTCATTCATTGCAATAAAACATCTTAAAAGGCAATGAAAGTTGTAAAGTCATTATTTTTTATGTGAGAAATAAGAATTTCAGACCCTAACATGGACTTGTGGGTTTTACATGCTTGAAAATGCTGTATATGTTTTCTCTTATTTTTAAATTTTCATTTGAATACACTTTACATGTTATGTTTATGTATTTTAATTTTAGATAATAGGTTTTTTAAATCATTTATTTTAAAATTTAAGTTTATATTTTTATTAACATTATGTTTAATATTTTTTGCATTTTTTTAAATTTTTTTGGCATTTTTTTTGGAATTTTGACTTTTTTTTTTGATTTTTTAGTTTTGTTTTTTGTAATTTTGCACCTTAAAAAGGTGCGCACCTCGCCTTGCACCTTGCGCCTCAGGCGCAAATAGGCCCTTGCGCTTTTAAAACACTGGCTTGGATTGTCTTGACAGTGTGGCCTGCCAGAAATAAGAGGAAGAGAAGAGAAGAGAAGAAGAAGAGAGAAGAGAAGAGATTGGGAATGGAACAGTGATGGCGGTGCCAGCTTCTATTAGTATATATAGGGCGACTAAATAAAAGGGGAAAAGACCCTTGTGTCCCTGTGTAAGTGAAGTACAATAATCAGAAAAATAAAAAAAGACATTAATCAACCAAACAGACCCTACCAAGACAAGACTAAAAGACAAGAAATAAAATAAACTATTTCAACACTCCCCCTTAAGTTGGAGCAAAGATGTCAGTCATGCCCAACTTGTCACACAAATCATTATGCCGCACATGATGAAGACCCTTGGTGAAGATGTCTGCAAGTTCTTCTAATCACTCTTTATTTGTTATGAGACGACCTCAGGGTATTACCATTCTCCTACTATATGCTGATGACATGTTGTTGATTGGGAATGATGCTAAAGGCATTCGTGAATTGAAACTATTACTTCATAATTCCTTTCACATGAAGGACTTGGGGCCTCTAACATATTTCTAGGGACTAGAAGTACATTGCAGTGATCGAGGGTATTTTGTTTGTCAGCAGAAGTATGCCTCTGACCTTGTTAAACTTGCTGGTCTTAATGATGAAAAGCATGTTGATACACCTATGGAGCTAAATCTTAAGCTATCTAAATCTGAAGGTCCTTTACTTCCTGATGCTGCCTTATATCGCCAGCTTGTGGGGTCCCTCATTTATTTCACTATGACTTGGCCTGATATTTCTCATGCTGTCCAGGTTGTTGGTCAATTTGTTTCTGCTCCTTGTCAGCCTCATATGACTGCTGTTCATCGCATCATTCGATATGTTAGAAGCACAACTTCCTAGGGACTGTTCTTCTCCTCCTCTCCTATTCAGTTGAGAGCATATGCTGATGCGGATTGGGCTGGTTGTCCAGACACTCGTAGGTCCATGTCTGGGTGGTGTGTTTTTATGGGTGATTCACTCATCTCTTGGAAGTGTAAGAAACAACAAACAGTCTCCAAGTTTTCCACTGAAGCAGAGTATAGGGCCATGTCTTCGGTTTGCAGTGAGATTGTTTGGTTACAATCTCTCTTTATGGATCTTGGCATTCAGGTTCCTATTTCTATTCCTCTCTATGTAGACAATACGAGTGCTATCAAGATTGCATCTAACCTTGTCTTCCATGAGAGGACCAAGCACATCGAGGTGGACTGCCACTTTATCCGAGATCTCTTCACTACTGGGTCTATATTGCTTCCTCATGTAGCCTCAGACATGCAGATTGCTGATATTTTCACCAAAGCTATGACTAGAGTTCAACATCTCTTTCTTATAGGCAAACTGATGGTTATGTCGAGGCATCAATTTGAGGGGGGGTGTGGAGGCTATAACTTGATGTACCTTATTAGTATAGTTCCTGTTGTATATTACTTTTACATCTTATTCTTCTTTTCTCTTTCAGCCCTGTATGGGCATTCTTGTAATTGTACATATCTTTTAATATATAAGAGACTCTTTGAGGTGGGGGTCATTATTCTTGACACCTCTAAGATTATTCTTGTTCTTTTCTCTATTCGGCCAAGAGTATTGACATTAGGAAGTGGAGAAAATTATGAGAGATTTTTTTATGGGAACTGGGGGAAGGAAAGAAGGACCAGTTAGTAAGATGGGAAACTGTGATTAGAGCTAAAGAAAATGGGGGATTGGGAATTGGAAAGGTAGACAAGAAGAATGTGGCATTAATATTACTAGTAAAATGGCTGTGGAGGTTACCAAAAGAGACGAAAAAACTTTGGCATAATGTGGTGGCTAGCTTTCATGAATTGGAGGATAATGGATGGGACGCTGGATTATCCACAAGGACTATTCTTGGATCTCCTTGGGAGGCAATTCACAGTATTCTTCCTTTTATCAGGTACAATGCATGCTCGGGTAACAATGCCCTAATTTGGAAAATATTTGGGTAGGGGAGTCCACTCTTAAAGGCCAATTCCCTTCTTTGTTTAGTCCTTCTTTCAAGAATGAGTTGATGTCTAAGTTTCTACCCTTGTTTTTGCTTTTTCTAGGTCTAATTGGTATTGGCTTTCAGAAAGGAAATCTGGGATTTGGAGGTGTACAAGGACTGCTATATTATGGATGGTTTGGGAAAAAAGGACTGCAAGAATATTCAAAGAAAAAAAGGAACCAAGGAGGCTATAATGGAATGTATAATGATTAGATCAGTGTTTGGATAAAATCTTTGGGGATTTTTAATCCTTTCTCAGTTGATAATATCACAAGAAAGTGAGGAGAGTTGGCTTCAACAAAAAATGTTATGGCTATTAGAGTATGGGAACCCTCGGAGAATGGATTTTGGAAGCTGAATTTTGATGGAAGTAGTATGGGGAATCTGGGACCTTCGGGGGTGGGAGGAGTTATAAGGGATGAAGAAGGAATTGCGAGAGCAATATATTCAGAGTCAATTAGTGAAGGAGATTCTACAAGGGCTGAATTGTTGATGGCTCTACAAGGGGTTCAGCAAGCTAGCGAATTGAACATTGAGAAACTTGTCATAGAAGAAGACTCTAAGGTGATAACTAGTTGGTTGAAGAAGGAAGAAAAGGCTTTTTGGAAGTATGGAAACGAATTGAAGAAACTGAGGTGGCTGAGAAGAAATATGCAGGTAAAAATTCAATGGGCTCCAAGATTTGCAAACAGTTGGCTCGCTAGTTTAGCTAAACAAGGGGTGTATAGAAATCAAATGTTTTGGGAAAATCTAGAGCTTTTTTGCTTTTCAGATGTTGGACTTCTGTTTCATCAGATGCCACCTCAATAACAATGAAATTACAAATTAGATTAGTGTGTAAAACTCCTAATCCTTATCCTTTATGGTATTCTCCTAACTATTTTCTCATTTTTGTTTGAGTATTTGCATTGTCATCTTGTAGTAGTCTTTTTTATGCTTTCACTGAGATAACTCATTTTCCTGAATCATTAAAAGTATGTATTAAAGTTGGGTTCACATTTTAGGTTCCTTTTTCAATCTCAAAGTTCATAGCGGATGGGGTGGGTGTACGCATACCAACTGAACAGTTGCTTAGAAGTCTCATTACTACCCTTCTGATTCCTCTGATATTGGGGAAGGTATTGTTTTCTTTTCTGTTGTACAACTTTATGTATTAATGTTGTTTAAACTTTGCTGAAATGAAAGGGAAAATGCTATGGTTTGACTTTCAGTTTTTAGAAAAAAATTCCTTTTCATTTTCCCCTTTTTTCTTTTATTTCCCAGGTTAAGCTAGTTATTAATATAGACTTCACCCCAATGCTATTTTTTTTTTGTATCCCTCTAATAAAAGTTTAACAGTTAGTATTACTGACCAAAATGGAAAATTTTAATTTAAATCTTTAAATCCTGAAATTTAGAGGTAAAACATATATACAAGGTTTAAAATGTTGGTATTAGCAGATATACCAGTCATTGAAATAATGGCAACGTGTCAGAAATGTCGAAAATCTCATATGGAAATATTGTAAAAATTATAGACATAGTGGAAACATTGTGAAATATGCAAGAAGCAAGATATAGTTTAAAGATTCCCATAATTGTTTTTTTGAGCTTTTTTTAAGGGTGAAGTGAAGTCATATTTAATGGGTTAGAAGCAAGATATAGTTTAAAAAAAGCCTAAAGGGAAAAAGCGCCAAATGCAACAATAGGGCTTATTTTGTAATACACCCTATAATTGTTTTTTTTTGAGCCTGCATCTTTGTTTTTATGGTGCAGTGCAGGCTAGTATAGCTTGCCTGATCTTTTGTGTAGTAACTCACTGTACAGGGTTATACTTGTACCATGATTAAGTCAATGAGTGCAATACCATATCCCTCTCTCTCTCAAAGAAAAAAAGAGAAAAGAAAAAAGATTATATTTTACTTTCTGATATTGCACAAGTGTTTGGCGAATTTTTATTTTTATCTTTTTATTTCTTTTCTTTAATGATTCTTAGGTTGTGATACTGATACTTGTTTTCAAAATGCAGGTATTCCGAGATTTCTTCAGTGGTAAGTGTTGTTCCAGTACCCATTTTCCTTTTGACAACTTCCTGATTCTTGTTTCTGTATAGGATTAACCCTAAAAGAAACATGTCAAGCTATCTTATCTTGTATGTATCTATTGACTACCACAACATGTTTTAGTGGCTCTATATTCATATTTGGAACATAGGTGGGCACCTGTATTAAATCTAGGGGTGCAACATGGGTGGGCCTGGATTTTTCATATGTTTAGTCTTAAATGGGGCCTGGGCACCTGAAACGGAAATGGGGCCTGGGCCTGGGCACCCGATTTTCTCCAAATCAGGCACCTGAAACGGAAATGCAACCCTAATCAAATTCAGGGAGTGCTATGTTTTGAGTATTGTGGCATCTCTGGAGGGGAATTTTAGGCCCAAATGCCCAATCATGTTGTACCCATTAAAGATGTAACAAGATTTCATGGCATAGTGGCAATGGAAGTAAAGGGAGTGAGAATGCCTATTAAAATTAATGTTTTAAGGTGTGCTTAGCTTAGGTTCACAGTTTAGGCTCATTTTATGGCCTTGCCAAAATCCATGTGTACCTCACCTAACCTGGCTTGTTATGTTTCGATGAATTAAGATGATTCCATGGCAAGTATGGATGACACAGTTGTAAAACTTATTGGAATCTCAGAACCAGGGTGGAAGAAAGAAATTCATTAAGTGATAGGTGGAGCTAAGCAATGGCAGGCTTCTTTTCTGGGAGAGGACTCAAACAGAAGAATTTGTTATCAGGCTGATGAAAGGGGTCATATGCAGACTGRCTCTGAAAGCATAGGGTGATGAGGAAAAAAAACAGAAGTCACCCAACAAGAAAGGCTAGAGATAAAACATATCAATACCCCCCTCCTCCTGAATTTTCCCAATAGACCAAAAATCAGAACCCAAGGACTCTCTTTGAACATTAGGAAACTCGGCTAAAATGTATAATCACCAACTAATGTCCAATCTCTGAACAATGTTTCTCCTTGCTTTTGGACTTGTCTTCAAAGATTCTTCTGTTTCTTTGTTTCCAAATATACCAAGACACAGCAAAAGGAATACATATCCAAAAAGAAAAAAATCACCTTCTTAATGCCATGAAGCACTTTTTTCTTTTGTTGGGCTTGGGCTCCATTTTGGTGAGCATGAAGCACTGGTTAATGTGAAAAAATTTCTTTAGGGTTGCCAGGACTCGAAATGATTTTCTTAAAAGCTGAAAAGAAGTATTCCCAAACAACCTTTCTACAGGGCAACCGAAACAGTGTTGCAGTACATCTTCAGCATTAGAACCACATAAATAATATCTGCTAGCCATCTTAGTTCCATTGCTTAAAAATGATCTTGAATAGGAAACTATCCAGAACCATGCAAAGGCCTCAACCCTTGGAGGGATTGGATTACCCCAGATTCCTGTAATAGGAGATTGATCAATTGGATTTCTAACTAGGGCTTTATAAAATGATTTCACAGTAAGGCAACCATTTTGCATTCCTTCTACCGTCTCATATCAGGCCTATCTGGGCTGATCTCCACTGTTTGAAGCTTAGACAACAACTGCACACATTCCTCCACTTCTCTGTCAAAAAGCGGTCTTCTAAATTTGGGACACCTGTTATGGGCCCGGGAATAGGATCGCGTCACGGGTCGGTCCACGGGGAAAAGCTCCTGTTTTCCCTTGTTCCTCCCCTTCCTAGCTGAACCTATCTTGGCGTTCTAGAGGGTGATTTGTCCAAGATATCACCAAACTCTCCTTTACTCTCTTTCTTGACTGGAAATTTGATATCCTCATTCAATAATGGRRTCTYCTTAAATAGGAGATTACAAGAGTCCTAATCAAAGGGAGTCTCCTTGCTGAATAGGGAGACTTCCAGTT